AGAAAGATGGCAGTAATGAACCTAGTTCAACACAATTATGGGAAATGTTATTCAAATGTGACGTTTGTATTTGCTACATTCCGTAATGTCTCAGAAAAAAAGATTAAGGCTAGTGATGTTACCAGTAATATGATTAACATGATGACTTAATCTGAATCATTGTTGTGGAATTTGAGCCGAATCACTACGGTTCTCCTCCCCTTGACCTTTAACATATCAAAGTTGACAGTCAGTCAGCTGGAAGCTTCTTACACATTTTACATCAATGGTTAGAGACTAGAAGGTTAGTAGTACGCCTTAATTTGATTAATACTGGATTTTGTTTGATGTTTTTCTACTATAATCAATGATACCGTTTTTCATGAGACAATAATGTTTTTGATTTTCTTTTCAATATAAGTTAAACACTTAACAAGTGAATGTAAATTTCTTGTCTAAATATCTACTTTTCATCCCCAACACAATAAATACACTTCATGTTACAAAGAATCTAACATCCTAACTACATACACATTCAATAATCATGTCTTGGAGATATAAACTTGAATAAAGCACGTCGATGTGCACTAAAATTGCACTATGATAGAAAGTTGCCACTTTAATCGATACTGCTAATTAGTGGATGCATTTTAGAAGAAATCCAAAGTTCTCAGATTTTGAATTATTTATTTATAGAGGAATGAATATGTTTATCCTCTTCATCTGACTATCCCACTTATTTTAGTACAGACACTCCATATTATAACAATATACCAACCAATTAACGTATGCCCAAGTACAGTCAAATGGTGCACCTTCTAGCTTGATGATCATATTGTAGAATGACCAGACAATGACCAGACAACATGAAATTTGGTACTCTCCGGCAGTCAGTTGAAATATACCACTCTTTTTAAAGGTGTAACTAAACATAGTAACGTTCATATGTACATCCAAAAAAAATTCTAACAGGTTCTTGGACAGTAGAAACCTCGTATCTACACCACTACTTGAGATCATGCCAACTAAAAACTCTCCATATTCTGAGTGCGTAACTCTAACAAATACATAACTCACTTCCACACTGAGAGTATGCATCAGGATTAGGAAGTACTAGTAGTGTTTATATCTTTTTACCTAACAAACTTATCAGGACTAAGCGAAATGGAAGCTACAATTAGTATGCAACTGAATGGGATAATCAGTTCGTACAGTCATTCCGCTAACTGCACACTGTTCACTGATATATTTTATTGAGTGGATATTTGAGGTACACTTGTGTATCTTTTAAACAGCACATTTAAACCTCTAAAAATGATGCAACGTTTCTTACTGAAGAATAACCCACACACATCAGTAGCCTAACCATTTAATTTCCAAGTCATATGTTCATTATGAAGTCTATCTGTTCATGAGAGTAAAAGAACTAGACTGAAAAGCTTCCTATTTTAGATTCTTTCAAGATTCCTTGACAGAGGCATGGGGTAAACCACTGCGTAAAGCAAGTAAGTGTCTGAGTAATTAACAATGAGACAACGTGCACTGTTATTGTGTCAGATAATTTATTTACCACACTGCACACCTGATCAGCATACTTCAATAAGAGCTGAAGATTTGATTGCTTCAAATATTACTATTCGATGAATTTTTGTGTTCAGGAAAGCACTTGACCACATTAGATGAACGTAGAAATATCATAAAAGTGATCAGAATGTTTCTCAGCATGCAACATACTGAAATGACCATATTTCAACACCAGTACCATAGACCGAAATGTGCATAAATGGTATCTGTTTTATGTCTACTCATTAGATATGCGTAATAATAAGTTTGCGAAAAATACTGCTAGGTTGTTTGTAGGAGATAAATAGTACACAGAAATTATGATGTTAAGGAAGTATTTTTGCACCTGATGTTAATGTCAGGTTTCTAACTCCCTACCATTTTCCAAATGTTCACTCTCAAACTGTCTCCCTATCCTATGTATTGCACCCCAAGCCGATTTAACCCCGGTTTACTATGCATATAACAAAATGAAAAACTTTACAGAGAGACTATTTCAAGTTTGTATTCATCATAGACTGACATCAGTTGGACGAAGATTGGAAATTTGATATCACTGGACAGCTGTGTCGTTCCACTAGTATAAGACTCCTCATTAGTGCGCGCTCATGACTCCACCACACAAGGGATCGAACTCAGGACCTTCAGGTTTATTGGTCAACATGTTACCATTAGGCCACTGGGTTGGAATCCAGTGGCCCATATTTCCAGCTTCTATCAACTCACGACACAGTGCGACCATCACCCAATGTCATTTTTGAGTATTTGTCTCATAGGGACTTCAGAAACCACATTCCAAAGCTAGTCACCAATGAGCACTAGATTAGTTCAATTTGGTGGTTTGTGGAAATTTTCAGTAATTTCAAGTTGGTATTCATCATGCAGTGACCGGAGGGGCAAACGTGGTGGACGTGACGACAAATACTCAAAGATGATATTAGGTGATGGTAGCTCCATGTCGTGAACTGATAGATGTTGGAAATATGGACCACTGAGTTCCGACCCAGTCGCTCAATGGTAACGTGCTGGTCCTGGAACTTGGAGGTCCTGGCTTCGATCTCTGTTGAGCTGGGGCCGTGTGTGCGCACTGCTGAGGAGCCCCTTACTAGGACGAAACAGCTTTCCAGTGTCCTTCCACTTGACGTCAGTTTATTATGAATAACGACTTGGAATCAATAAATCCCCACAAAATTTAACAGAAAGGCTATTATTGGTATTTTGTTTGACGCCTTATGGTGCTACCCATTTGTTAAGTCCAGAGTAGACAAAACATATTTGAAACCTGCCACCCACTCCTTGAGAGATGATTACTTAAGTCATTGAAGTGCACATCTTTGACCTCAACAACATCGTACATAAAAAGTAACTACTAACAATACCCTACCCATGAAACAAATATTACGTTTGCTTGGCATAATTTCACGCTTTCTATCAGATAAAAATACTGGCCAGTTAATCAGCTTAAGATTAACCGCAAAATTAGCATGTATATTCAGTTAACAACTAAGATAAGTGTAGAGCAAAGATCATGTTCAACATTAAGTCTGCCTAGTGGAGAACGAAAGCACCGACAGAGCACACTAAACCATTTGGACTGTTATGTTTTATGTTGACCTTAAAGTGAGAGATGAACTTAGTTTATGGTTGGCATTATTCTGACAAGTTATAAGTTCAGGTAAACATCTCTGAAAATTTATGATAAAAACAAATAAGCAAATCTAGACAAGTTTTGAATTCAAGAGATACTACTTGAAATCGAATCATGAAAATATAGTCAGTATATACATATGGTTTGATGATGAATAACCGGTCATTATTCTTTTTACTAGAAACCAATGAAAATGAATCTTTTTTTTACTTAATACAGAAAATATCCACTTATAATTTGCATCGTATTCAATAGTGGTGACAAAAGAAAGTTTACTTAAATTTTGAGATGTTAGTCGAATTCAGATAGCTAGGTGACTGGGAATTCATTTTATTACAATGTCTGGAATGCAAGTTATTCATAATCTTAAACTGGTCATTTTCATTCAGCTATAAACTAACAGAAGTAGTTGAACATCTCAGTGGTAGTTTATTCACTGAGAGCTACAACATAGATATATCGGATGAATGAATGTGTTAATAAACATGAAAACCAAATGTAACTTTATTATCTCTTTCCAGTGAATTGTACTGCCATGTTGGCCAACGTGTTTTGTTGGCTACGTTTAGAAAACCGTAATTTAAATGGTATAACTTAGCGGTCATATGAAATTTGGTCTACCAAACAATGAATCAGATCCATTTAATGAAGGCTTATGATACTATCAGGTTTCCCAAACCATGGTGGTTGGGTTAACATTCAATTTGCTTATATACTCGTTAAAGGCCACTGAAACAACTACTGAAGTTACCAATTGAATACTTCTATTTTGGCTGGAAGGGTAGTTTTTTTCATGAAATTGGCTATTTCAGTAGTTGTTCGGATGGGTTTCAAAGTCATTCCTCATTGAAATTTAACTACCTAGACCAAAGAGATCAGCTCTGTTTGGCCTAATTTACTGCCCTTTTAATGGATTTTGACCAATAGTAAGTCTTTGAGAGTTTTATCACTCACCATCTGATCTGTAAATTAGTCGATGAACTAGAACGGGTATTCGATGGCATAGTTCATTATCTGAATCATTTGACTTATTAAGTCATATGCTTGTAAACAGTGTTCGTACTATTTTCTATCAATTTACAATTAGACAACACCAGGTGTAAATGCTTTGTTATTATTACTTTTCAGTGTTATGTCTGATTAAGATCTCTGTGAACATCTAAATCCGATATTTCTAACAGTCATTATCGAAATGAAACTCAAGCTCGTCCATCATCTCTACCAATAGAAAATATCCCCATATACCGTAAAAAGGGTTACTGATTTTGTTTATTATGGTAAGGAAAACTATTCAGTTGATTTCTTTTGATAAGTTTATCTTGTACCCAGTATCTTAAAAAAATTTGGATGTTGGAAAGACATCTAATGGAAATACCTTTTTGTGTTGGTAGTGTTCAAACAAAATATCCTCATTGAATATTGTAAAGATTATCAAGAGGTCTAAAAATGTTTTCCATCATACAGTCTTTCGATTCACCGTAAACTACTTTTATTGCATTTTCGAACTTTCTTTACATAATTCCACCTTTGCTTTTCATATCACTAAAACCTGAAGATGGAGATAGTTTGAAATAATGTTTATCAGTACGAGAACAGTAACAGTTGACTACTGAACAAACGGAATTTTCCAAACTGCCTTTATATTGAGTTTATTGTACAGTATTTTTATGATAAAGACTCACAAACAGTTGTAAGCGGTTTATTTTTTTTATTCCATGAAAGATTTTATGAAAACATAATAATAACTAAGTGAAAAACACTCAAGTAAAATATGAAACGATTGACGAGATATAATGAAATTTTTACTTACCTTGTACTGTTAAAACAGCTGTCTGACTTAGATATTGTTGTCGCATAAAATTCACTTGACATACATAAGCACCTTCATCGGACAATTCCACATTCATAATCTGAAGATCATATTGTCCTGAAAGAAGAGATTGACAAAACAGGAAAGAAAAATATTGATTATGTTACATAAGACACTACTTAATTTAATGATGTTAAAATAATCACACTTCCTTATAATCTTGACTAGACAGAGAGACAGACAAAATCAACCTAGAACCTCGAAGACAGGTGTATTAATTCAAGTTGCCATACCTTACATTAGTATACAAGGAATAAAAAGATAGAAAAGGAGTGATATCAAAATAGGCACAGTTGTGAGAGAATAAACAATCTGAAGATAAACGTTAGTGAAAATATTCAAGATCAGAAAGGAGTCAAAGAGTGAATACATTTACGCAAATGTGATCTAGTTTCAGTCATGTCACCAAGACCCCTCAACCATTGACTCCTATCATTTTGGGGACGCCAGTCAGGCAGTCCACATCTCCCCATACAGATTAGATCAACAGTCAGGGACTGACTGTCAGTAATTTTTACAGATTGTACTCAAGTTATCCTGGTGAGTTTATGTTCTTCGCTGCAGATGATTCAGTCTTTTTGCATGTGATGTGAGGCAAACGCCTTATCTCTTGCAATACTCTAAGCGTAAAGCATGAAAGACTGCACTTTTTTATGAGAATAAGCATCAGTCATTTTACTGACAAGTTGTTACACATTTAAACAGTTGAGGGAGATCAGTTACTGATGTTCTTTGTAGTTTCTGCCATCCAAATAACTTAAACAATCTATTCGTTCTGTGGTCCTGTCTCAACTGGACGCTCATATTGTAGATTTCACTAAACTGGTTTGTTAAAAAAATTACACATTTAGCATTCTTATGTCAAAAAATGTACAAATCTTAGCTGATAATTTGATATTTGTTCACAAAGTATACCGTATACTGATTCCCAAAGCAAGGTGGTATTTGGAATAAAATGTACTTAAACCAACTAGCAAATATCATATAAGATGGAACTAGTTAACTGTGCCTTACTGACTGCAAACGTGTGTTAATATCATTGGTAGATGGATAATAATAGTCAAAAATATACACACAGTAGAATAATATTGCATTTTCTATGATATAAACAAACTTGACTATTTTTATAACTGTGTTCCCATGAACTAGTATTAATTGAAGTGAAGTATCTCAGAATCGGTTTTATCATTCTGCTGTGAGACAGTGTGGCAACAAGACGCTGAACACAGACATACATTGATAAGGAGCAACAAAACAAGTTTAGAGCAAGTTGTAGATAGGATGGTGACAAGAAATCAAGAAAAACCCAATGCTATGCCTTTAACAAACCTAAGCTACTAGTGAAATCCATTAGTAATACAATCAATGAACATAAAAGTGATGACGGTACTGAGAAAATGTAGACGTAAAGGAATTTATTTTTGAGATGAATGGAGATTTTTAATTTAGAAGTAGTATTCATCATGGACTGACATCAGTTGGGGAACCACTGAAAATCTGGGAGCACTAGACAGCTGTTTCGTCCTAGTATGGGTCTCCTCAGTAGGACGAAACAGCTGTCCAGTGCTCCCAGATTTTCAATGGTTCCCCAACTGATGTCAAGACATAAAGGAGTTTACTTAAATTCTCACTACGAAACTTATAGATGTTAGACACATTTAAACATTATCTGATAGCCATCAATAAGTACGTGTCTGCATTTAGCAGATCCAGACTATGATGGATGAGTTTGAAGGGCAAATAGATTGCAATTCGGATAAAACAGAAAAATTGGATATATCCAGTGGATAGAATGAACAAATAAACGAGACAGTGCACAAGATAAGAAATTGATTTACCCAGTAATAGCATCAAGAAGCTAATGATAATCTCAGACATTATGAGTGTTAAAAAACTGTATAAGACAAGAACGTAAGTAATAAGTGGAAGGAAAATTTTCTTAGGCATGAAGATTGAAGGGATAAGGACTGCCTGGGTCGGATTCATTGGTTTCTACGTTATGGAGACCGTTTGTATGCCTTGCTTTCGGATCGCTTTAAACAGTCAATGCTACCATAATTCTAGACAACAAACACTGATGAGCGTACTGTCATACGCAAATAACAAGTGGTATTATCACATAAAATGCTGGGATTGTAGTGATGTTATACTTATTCTCCGTTAAGCAAAACAGGATGATCCCCTTAATCATCTCTCGGAATTCTGTCTACTATGACAACATGATGTATATGAAACGGGTTTCCTTCGACAGAGAAAGCGAATAATTTTGGCTAGGCTAATCCACAACATTACTACTGAATCTACAGTAACAGGCGGTTAGTCTTCACGTAATAGATAATTATAAAACATAACTTACCTAGGGCTAAAAGGTATGAAATTGCCTGGTTTGTAGAGAACAATCGACATATATTACCCAGTCTTACAGGTAGTTAGTCTTCACCTTAATATCTCAGGAGTAGGTTCTCTGATGGCAGCACCTGATGACGCGGGTTTAAATATCAGGTGGGACATCACTGCCTTGAGGTTGAAGGTATGCCTTACTGGTGAATGCCAGGAAACATGAAAGTCAAGCCTAGAATTTTGTGTAAGTTACCTTCAACTAATCAGCAGCACACTACAGTGTCTTCGGTGAAGGTATCAAACATGCGTCCCTGGCAGCATCAGTATCCACTGAATTGCAGGTGGAATAATCTCATAATTTCTAAAGGGAATAAATATAAGCTGGGCAATCCGTTGCGTGCTGTATTCGCTATTCAGCAAAAAATTATTCGCTTAGTATTCTTACGATTTTCCACATAACTGTATCCACCTAATACAGTTTGCCAGTCAATAAGTTACATTTCATTTATTTGTAGGATAAAGCTGTACTAAGCAGCATATTATAGTCCAGTTTCCTCTTCAGAACAAAGAAAGACTCAAATAATATGAGACCTGGAGTAAATGCATATCAGTTCAGTTTTCTGCATTTCACATCAATGAATCGAATTTATCCTGCTAACATGGTTCACCTATTGTAGTAATGGAAAACGCCACTGCTAACGTTTGTTAAATGAATTATCTGCATTTAAAGTTTCTATAATTACGGAAAGAATGAATTGAGAACAATGAAACCAGAAGTAGATAAACCAGATATACTGCTAAAATCGTACTTCTAGCTGGTTACAGGGTTTACCAGATAGTCAAGAGATTCTAACCATCCGTGTTTGAAGAAGTCAACCCTAAGGAGTTCGGTAACAGTGGCTAGGGTCGTGAACTGTAAGGTTAACGGTTTACAATTCATACTGAACATCCCCAAAAGGTTTTTGCCATCGGTTTTGATTAGATGTTCTTTCAGCTACCAAGAACTACTGTTAATAAAAGTTAAGGGATAAAAAACATTTTTAAGTCGATTCTTTTCATTTGCGTATAATCTATCCAATATTTAGTTTATATAGAGATGCAGTATACTGTCCATGTTCACATTCTTAGAAAGTCAGAGAAACGAAGAATAAATTGATAAAAATCAAGTGTTATAAGTCGTTTTACTCATGTCTGTAAATGCATAAAGAGTTAAGAGCAAGTAATAAAAATTTTAGGATTTGAGGAAAAATTACCTGAACATGGGCAGTATAGATACACATGTACATGGTCGATTATTTTCCCAGGCAGTACAGTTACTCTATCGTAATCGTAATGATAAATTATCAAGACACCAAGCATTTATTGTTCGTAGCCTTGATTGTTTTACATGGCAGTTGGTGAAACAGTAACCTTACTTCTAAACGACGTCGTTAATTGAATAAATGTGATAGGCCATTAAACGATAAGGTAGAACTACAGAACATTTATTTTTATCAGTTTTTGAACTCTGTAATCGCTAGCTGTTTCATCAAGCTAAGTTCTTCACATTCACTTCATCAGTCTTGACAGAACAATGCAAAAGCTCATTTGGTTCCTTTATTGTCGTAGGATCCTCACTAGTTTCAAAATATACCACTGAGGACGTGAAAGAAGAACAAGTATTTCATGTCCCAATGAGTATATTTCGCATATTAGAAACTAGAAAGGACACTATGAAAGTAAAGAAAGTCATTGGGTGTCTACGTTATTCTGCTAAGCCTACTGAAGGGAATGAGATTCGCCTTCTTAGAGACTGTATAAAGAACCACGAGTAACCAAAATTTTAAGTCCATACGTAAAGTGTACTCTGCAAAAGTTCACTTAGACTAAATGCTCAGTTGGCGTTACTTGAATTAAACCGTCCTAATTAAACAAACTGGTTACTGCTACAGTTAGTTAAACAGACCGTGTCAATAATGTGTAGATAAAGTGTACTTGAATCAATGCTGAAACTTTCTCAAAGTTCAGTTTGATGTAATACGTGGAGTAATGGTGTAATACTGCGAAACTGTAATTTAATTTCTTCCTTTAAGAAACAATGTTGGATTCAGGAAATCGGTTTTACAACTGCTTAAGCAACGGGAATCAATTTTTGCGAAAATCAAGTGGTATCAAAATTCACTCAAAAGCCTTGTATTCGTTCATAGAGTAGGCGATATGCCACACCTGATGCATAAAGAGCTAGTGATACTATATGGCTGTCAAAACTTCGGAAGGTGGAGAGATTCTCGAATTTGTGACTCATTAGTTGGTGGTGAACTGCCTTGACCGGTAAGCCATAACGCGTTAACTGAGATGCAGGTACCAAAAGTTCTCCATTATTTACGCTTATCAGTATGTCAGACAATAGCTTTAACACTAAACAAAAGGTTTTGCTTTCTAAATGTTATGCATGGTTTACATGACCATTCTGTATCGCTATGCCTTTTACTTTGTTGTAGTGAACGGTAGTCATTCAGATTAGTGAGAAAATAAACAAGAATTGATGAAATCAATAGACTTGTTAAAAATAACTAACGAGTACATTGTTCCTTATACATCTGTAGTGGATCATTCTAATATCTGCATGGAACTATAACAAAAGAAATTTAAAAACGCTTTAGAAGGAATATGCAACACAGTTTTTTACAGATTCTGTAGCATAATATCCCTAAGAAATATAAGATTGTATGCCAGAC